CCCCAAAACCCCAAAACCCCAAAACCCCAAAACCCCATTAAATCTTATAATAATTGAATTTACAGCATATTAGAAATGGAAATAGATCAATGATATCAGTCAAGATATAGAAATAATAGAAGCTTTGAGATGGTCAGAAAAAATTGAAAGCCTTATCAAATTACGAAATATACAAAACAATATTCGGGCAACATTATAAATAATAAAAGACCTAAAAGTTCATCATTTCAAAAGAAAAGTAGTAAGATTTTGAAGAACAGACCAGTCACAGCAAATTCCTTATACAGAAACAAACAAAGATTTGCAACAGAGAATGTAAAAATGATTCCAAAAATAGTACCTAAGAGCAAAGCCCAGCTTTACAATCTAAAAGTAAATTTATTCTCCCAAAAACTTGTATTAATATATTATTTTCTTAAATCTCCCTTACATATTATCTCTATCACAGCCAGATGAGGTAACCACAAAGCCTCCACAGACAGCCACTAACAGGTCAACCAATCATCTTTCCACTGCTAAAGTGCAGTCAGTCAGCTCAAGTAGGAAGAAGGGTCCGCTTCTTTTATAAACTTATAGAAAATAGTCTGATGAACAAGACAATTAATATCATGACTGAAAGTTCATTGGAAAGTGGAATCATACAGCTTTCTTCTTTGAGTATGGCAAAATACAATTTTAGGTCGCAAGAATAGACCTATCTTTGAAGCAAGCAGGATAGGTAAGATATCTGGCTTTAAAAATTCCCAGGACTTATCATTTTAAGGCTATTGATAAAACCTCTAAACACTAAAGCTTATCTTACAATTACTTTAGGGCTTCCACTCAAACAAAAGGTATCCAAATAGCAAATCACATTAGTAATAATTCTAGAAATAACAAGCATAAAATGATCGAAAGTGGCAAACTGATGAATGAGAACAGAGATTTTCCTATTAACTCTTATTGCAGGTATAGCACCATAAGAAAATTTTATTCAAATACTTAAAAGGAGAACCAAATACTCTAAATTTTAACACTTCTTTCGTTTATTTACCAACTCGTTTCATTTTGGTTTCAGTTCGAAAGTATAATGGGAATTAAGAAAACCCAGATTCGAGTCTATAAATTTTAATCTTGAGAGATTCCTTCTTAATTTGGACAAATACTCAATATTCGAACATTTCTTTATGTAAGAATCTCAAAATGGTTCTAGATCAAAGACTATTATTGTGTCAAAGAAACAAGATAAATATTCCAGAAAAAGGAGTGACGCTTGTCTATCTAAGATTCTAACAGAGCTTAAGGTAAGTTACTGATTTCTCACAAAGCAGAGATGATCCAAGATGAAAAGAAAAGTTGTCAAAAGAAGGAGAGAGACAGAAGAGAAACCTAGAATAACTAAATACAATAATTTGGTCAATCCAAAAGCAATCATTAAGGTATTCTGGAGATTTCAAAAGTTATAAAATGTTGTTTTGCTAATTCTATGGTTTAGAATAAGATGCTAATTCATGATAGAATTTCAAGTGATAGATCCCTTAATAACAATAACAAGAAGAATCATGCCAAGAAAGTAACTTTTTCAAAAAGCAATCAGGTGTTTCTCATAAAAGTAACTCATTTACCTTATCATTAGAGTGTCAAAAGAGATCTGAAGCAGCATCGCTTACGTGAAAGACAGAATAAACCAAAAATTTCAAATTTTTTGATGTCGGAATAATGGAGTAATTTTTCCATTATTAATTACCCATCAGGGGTTTTGGGGTTTTGGGGTTTTGGGGTTTTGGGG